ACAAATATGTTATGATATATCTGTTAGATTCTAGGTCGGCTTACCATATAACATACAAGATAGGAATCTTGGTAATCAAATAATTATTCGGAAAATGGAGATGGCTTAGGCAGATAAAAAGGCATTAAATTAATTTAGATGATGGCCTCTTATAACAACTAAGTATAGAGAATAAAGTGAGATTAAAAGGTATGTTGTATTCCTCATCTAAATAGATATTAATATCATTAGTCAAAATCAATGATTGTCGCTAATGTGTCAAGTTTCAGAATGATGGGGCTAAAGTGCATAAAGAAAAGAGAAAAGTAGAAATAAAAGCAGTGAGAAGAGGAAATGCATATTATGTTGAATCAAGAAACAGGAAAATGGCAGAATATATATCAACAGAGAAGTATGTGTGGCATGGACATGCTAATATATGGATTATTCAAGAGATGGAGAATGTACAAAAATTAAAGATAAATTCAATATACAATGTATATGTTCCAGTAAGGCACAAATCTGCAGGAATATCTATAGGAACTTGGAAATTATAAAAGCAGCAGAAATAATGGGGCTCTGGCACATGCAATTGTTTGGGCCAATAAAGACAACGTTAAAAGGAGGTAAAAGGTACGTCTTACCTGCTGATCATTATTCCAGACTAAATGACTAAAGATTTAATCAGAAATATTACTGATGCAGAATTTTTTTTGTCATAGGAGACTTACAAACATGAGTAATATTTATTTGAAAGAGCTAGCCAGCAAGAGTAAAGTAATAGGTATTAGTTAAAAATATTTCAATGGGTTGTATATCTGTTTTCAAAAATTTAACCGATATGCAATAAATACTTTCTAAATTTCTATATTAATATATTAAATAATTTTTAATTTGAATTACAATAATAAATAATAAATTTTAATAAATTTAGTTTTAAAAGTATATTACATTACTAAAACTAATGTATTTCTTATAACTAGGTTGTAACGAAAACAACTGCTGGTGATATTGAGTTAGAATTATGGGCAAAAGAAACTCCAAAGACGTGTAAAAATTTCATACGATTATGTGTGGAAGGTTATTAGGATGACGCAAGGTGGTGATCCCACAGGTACAGGAGAAGATGGTAAAATATATGGAGAACCATTTAAAGTGAGACTGTATTTAAAAATTAAATAACTCCCTTTTTTATTCAAAAATAATTATTGGACATATATGTTTTAGGACAAATTTCATACAAGATTACGTTTTTGTCGACGAGATTTAATTGAATAGAATAACCACCTGCACGTGGTGAGACCTGATAATTGGCATCGCTTATCAAAGATGAATTTTTGCAGACCTCAATCGCTTCATTCCTTTGGCTTGATGCGCAACGTACTCGCTCGCATACTAGCGGAATTTTGGACAATGTCGGCCACCAAGGCGGATTCCGACTGTGATAAATCCTCTACTCCTATAACCAAGTCACGCAATCACACAAATAGACGTCACGGTCGTGTGGTACAGTGTAGTCTGACTACATTCTCGAGTAAGCCAAGTTTATCTATCTCGTCGTTTTCCAATGAATAACCATGTTGAAATCCGCAACATACTCTATGATTTCCACCGTGCCCCTAATATTAAAGGCCGAGGCTCCTTAGAATCCCCTTTAACCAAACTTTATTCCAATATGTTCGAATAGTTTCTTCTATCGATGTCAATCTATTAAATAAAAGATAATTACTTTATTGCAGTGATAATTAATGTTCTATAATTATGTTTCGTTTTAATCATATGTTTATTATCCTTAACGACATTGGTACGTATTTTAAATATTAAAAGTAATAAACGTTTGCCAGTACATTATATACATAATGAAGAGGTTGAACATCCGAATTACTTCTATATCTTTGTATTATTTCAATAATTATGACTTGTTTCAATCATTATCGTATGCCTTTTTTTCTCTCTCTCTCTCGCGTTACAGTACAGTAACGCTATTTAGGATCAGAAATTTAGCAGGAAGAAAAACTAGGCTAAAACGCTTATAAAATGCGTTCTCGATAATGGCATTTTCTTGGTGATGACACATAACTAATCGACACTGTGTATTGCTGTTTGTATCGTCATCAACAACGTGATATTAATAATACGAGTAAATGATATTGTACAACTAATTTGTCTTGGGACGAAAATCACGATCGTTGGAATGTATTTTAATACAATATATATGTATAATATATATAATATGTATACCTATGTTAAATAAAGGTACCAAAATTACATTAATAACGATCAAGGCTATCAACGGACCTAATAGAGGATTGATCATGAGATCAATTTGAATACACTTTATGTTTAAAAATATAATTTTCTTCCATATTATCGATCCAACTAACATTAAAGTTTTATTTATATCGCAGACGCAAATTTCGAGTCTAACACATCCTCGTCTAAGTACGGATTTAAATAATAATCCGTCTGATCGTATTTCATTTGCTTCGCCAAATATAAATTTACCGTATAGTAAGTTTAAATGGTCAAATGGAAAATGACAATGAATTATCACCGGTCAATCGCTCTGTATAATCTCTGAATGAAGTTGTCGGAATTTAGATAAAGAATGAAAAATACGAAATGTGTGATAGCATTGGAAAAAAGTTCGTTACAATTATATGTATACATGGAGAAGGAAAAAGAAGAAAGAAAAGAAAAAGAAGAAAAAGAAGAAAATGAACGAGAACGCGATGTCAAGTAGGAAAGAACGAACTGAATGGCGTTAGATTTGCATTTATAGTAGCCTAGGATTGAAACGGCCTATATGAAGTATGAGACCAGTTGGATTGTGCCGTACAAAATAAAGGAACGGTTGGTCTAACTTCAATCTAGATTTATCCTCTGATTTTTCAACATTTCTTCCCATCTCCTTAAATGGAATTGCACGATAACTTTTCGACCAGCTATCCACTATTGGTATCATTTTGTTGGATGTTAGTTGTTCGGCATTCGACGCCTCGTGATGGGAATTTCGTAAAGTGGGACTTGCTGGATAAATTTCCACGTGATGTCGTCCATTCGCGATGTTTTCATCTCCACACGTGCTGAACAAATTCATCTAAAAATAAAATTTATATCATTCGGTTATAAAGATGGCAAGTAGAAGGAAATAAATAAAGAGAAGAATAAAAGGAAGAAAATAAATGGATATATGGATAATATTATTATATATAAAAAGGCTGTCAATTACCTGTAAAACGTCCGACAAAAATAAACGATTTCCAATTCCGTTGATGCCTTTAAAATCGGCATGGCTTGAAAATAATTGATCGAGACCCATTCTTTTCAAGGCAGCAGTAGCATTGATAATGGACCTATGACTGAATTTAGGTATTTGTAATTCAAGGCCTGTTCTCGGTATGAGAACCTTGAGAAGTTTATCCCAACTTCCATCCTGAAAATTTCCTTTTACCAGTCTATGCTCCAGACGATCCAGAGTATCGCCAGGTGCAGCATGACCTTGTTGTCCGGGTACAAGGAATATCGTTGAAACGAGCTTGTCGATTCCTCCAAGAGCAATTGCAGTGGCATCTAAACTAGGTTCATAACCAGCTAGCACATTCGATCGCCAAACAGTGGCTGGAACGGGAATCAGCTTCCTCAATCTATGAGCAGATGAAACAGCAAAGTATAATTCACCGTCTCGGCCTGTTGCACTGATCAAACTTGTGTTACAGTCTGTTTGAAATACGTTTGCTGAGATTGCAGCAAGCGGCGACCTTAATGGAACTGTATTGCTTTTTACGAAATCTTTTATTCTACCTCCGGTTTGTTTTCTAATCAAAAGGTTGGTTCGACGTCGTGCGAGATCACTGATAGTAGCAAAATTTACTTCAGCCACTAATCCTTCGTAGAATTGTTGCGCTTGTTCTTTGTAGAACGGCAACAATCTCCTCACCTTAGCCTTGTCCGCAAATAATTCACGAACGAATGCTGCATTAACGATGCCTTGATGCCTCGCTAAGCTGACCGTGTCAGTTACATTTTGAAAAATGAGATGTGGGTTGAAAGTGGCGACATTGTCGAGGCCAAGTACCTCGTTCATTTGATCGGACGTCGATCCTCGGGCACCAAGGAAAATCATCGCTAAAAGACTAATCATACCAAACGGTGAGAGTACAAATGATCTTCCGATGCTCAATCCGTTATTCGCTGCAATCCAAAATTTGATCGCAAGTTCGTTACAAAATCTCGAAAAATTGACAATGTCGATACTCGCATTTCTCGTACTAGTGTCCAATCCACCGATACTTTTCGAGCCATCTAAAGGCACAGTTAATTCCGCTTCGGTTAATTTGTTCGTCGGAGGCAATTGAAAATGCGTTTTCATTTCCGTTGCATTCGTTTCCAGCATGGTCGACACTGTTGGTGCCTCTGGATGCTTGGATATCTCTGAATGCTCAATTGTGCCTGCAATAGGATTTACTTCTGTTGACACAGGATTGAGCGGAGTGATCGGATGCAATGATATTCTTTGCCATATCTGCTGTGAGTTTATCCCCGTATTATTTATTTTGCTCGGAGACGTTAAATTTCCTGAATCCTCGAATATCTGATTTACTTGCGATTTATTATGTATTTTATCTACGACTCCTAAGAATTGCATTCCTATTGAGTTATTTTCACCGACATTGCTCTCATATGATTCACTCGGCCTTTTGGTTTTATTCTCCAATCTGTCCCAATCTATCGAATTTATCGTGGCACTTATAATTCCTTTAACCTCATTTGATTCTTTCGTGATGGAATTTAGAGTGGTAGTTGTGTTCGAAGAATGCCTAATCCCGTCTTCCAACGATATCCTTTGTACGTTGCTCGTTGCGTTCCATTGAGGAACGGCCACGAAAGGTTTCTCATCATTGAAAGATGTCACGGTGATACTCGAAATATGATCTGTGCCATTTTTCCGCTGTTGCCCCGTCTCTTTTGCGAAACTTGGTGTAACTGCATTCGTTGAATTCGATAATTTCACAGGTATGTCATGATTCTGATGCTGCTTCTGTGCGGATTGTTCTTCTGCGTTGGATGAATAGGGAATAACGGTAACGGATTCACTCGTATTCGTCGATACTTCATCAGAGATTGTCACAGTGTGATATAGATTTTGTTTATCAAGCTCTGAAAATGATATTTCTGTTGTATCGTCCAGATGAATCGTAGATGTCTTATCATTGCTCTGTAATACCACTTGAGGATCTTTTTCAAGTGTTGGTATCGTAGGAATTGTTATATTCGCGTTTTTCGAGCTTTCGTTACTTGATATTACGATTTCATACGTAGGATTAAAAGTATGCTCGATATATGTATTATTTACCAATGAAACACCAATTTCATTCGTAACGGTATTTTTGACGGTAGCGTTGATAACGGAGAATGATACGCTCGTTGGTTCTAAAGTGACTGTTAGTTGGTCATTTTGCGATTGAGAAGATTCCAACACCATCCGATCCGTTGTTTTTAACGTTATTACATCTTTAGAAGAAATTTCAGTAAGCACGTCCTCCTTTGTTGTAGAGGTACGTTGAATTTCATTTTCGTTCATAAAATCTTCTTTCTCTCTGTTACTGATATTACCTACAACTATATTAGAAAGATTTAATTTCGAATTTGTCGTAATATCTGTTAAATTAACCCTATAGGGAAACGATGTTGTTGCGTTATTAAATACATTCTGTATTTTGTTCGGACTGGATAATTCAAAACCTGCGATAAGTGAACTTGCTAAAGTGTTAGGTAATACATTTTCCGACAAATCGTTTGGTAATGTGAGCGTTTCCGTGGCAATTGTATTTGTTTCGGTTGAAGCAGTATGAAGTATACCGTGGATAATCGCTATCGGTTGCAAAGGATTGAAATCGTTAACTGTCTCGTTAATTTTTGTTGTTGCTTTGGTTACATTTAAATCCAACTGACCGTTCGATACGGTATGCGTAGTGTCATATTTGATTGAAATATCAGAATAGTTGGTCATTTTCTCCATATCTGCCATATTCGTGGTTATAACGGGGACGGGCGATGTAATGGAAGAAATTTTCTCTTGATCCACTTTGAACTTTACCGTCGTTTCAGTCGGTGATACTTGAATACGCTCTGCAAATGTATCATTTGTATTTCCTAGCCAGTCTTCCCTAGTTATCGAAGGATGCGTTGTTGTAGGAATCGTTGATATTGTAATTTTCGAACCGTTATATATCTCCGCATCGTTTTTACTAGGAATCGATTCAAATACAGAAGAGATCGGCAAGGCAGGTGGAACTTGTTCGGAAACTTGGCTAATCACATTTGATAAAGAGTTTATTACTAACTCCATAGACGATGGTTTTAAAGGTTGCGTTGGCACGATATTACTTAGCTTGGTTACTGCATCGTGTACAATCGTCGATGATTCTGTGAGTATGGTTGTCCCATATTTATTTATACTCACAGTAGGGAAGGATACGGAAGACTGTAACGGCAACATGGTGAATGGTTCATTAGCGACTAACGTTTCAACTTCGTTCAGATCCAACATAGATGATGTTTGCATGTTTGACGGAATTTTAGCATTGTCTGTAAGAGTATCGGTTGTTGGTTTTACCTTCGTCTGCATTTTCAATGAATCGATACTGTCGGTAACTTCCTCGACACTTGAACAATTATCTTTTACATCTAAAGGTTCGTTTATAAAACTCGTATTATCGTAATTACTTTTGGTTGTTGGATTTGTAACTGCATTTATAAATGTCAAATTGTTATTATCGTGATTTTGATAGTCGTATGTGGCATTTTCTAACGATACGGTAACTTCAGTCATCTTGTACAAAATGGGACTGGAAGTGGTATATTGTGTGATCAATTCACTGTTTTGTTCAGTTATAATAACCGGCACCGGTATCATTAATTTTTCTGTGTAAGAGACCGTCGTAGTTTCTGGTGTAATCGCTGATAGCGAATCTTGCGTTTCGTTTTTTGCAGAATGCATGATTACTTCTTCGTTTTCTTCAGTGTATTTAACAATATCTTCAAGTTCCTTCAACGGAACTGTTTCACTTATGTTAGATTTTAATAAATCGATAAATGAATCGTTCTGAGCGGTAAACATAGACGTCACTTTCGAAGTTTGCGTTTCAACGTAATGAGTTTCTTCAATCTTATTTCCATATTTGTCACCGGCCAAAATAGCTGGCAATATATTACTCCACTCGACATTTACCTTTTCCGGAATCGTCGGATGTGAACCAGTGAGCGTCGACAATGGTTTACCCAAAGCACTTTTCAGCACGTTTTGCACTTTTTCCACAACATCCATTACCTGTAAAACATTTCAACTTGCTTAATGATATTGCCTCATTTAAGAATACACACGAAACGATACTATTAAAACTTTAATAGTATCTTATAACTTTAATTACCTACTACCTCGATAATTCCTTCTTCGATTAACTTAATACAAGAAACCATTAAGAACATTTACCGACCTTTTTTCCGCCCGTAAGAATATCCTCAGCTTTTTGTGGCTCATGGATCTCTACGTTAGAATGATCCGGACCTCCACTTGCGATTAAGGCTTGAATTTCTTGCATTGTCATTTGCCTTGTAATCATGTCACCTCTCTCGTTGTATGTATAAAATTGAAATCCATCGGGTTTTAGCAAATTTGCTGGAGAGGGTGGCAATCGAAAAAGATTGATAGGAACCGAAGCGGGTAACCTATCAATTTTTGTTGCACGAACAATCTCGTTCCTTGCATCTTTTGTTTCCGTAATACCCGGAATACCCGACATCGATGTAATGGCACTAGAAATTGCAAAGAACCATAAATAATCGGTGTAACTTGACAAAATTAAGTTTATCGAAAAAGCTGAAATTATTAAACTTGATGTATTTCCATGCGCGCGAAAATATCTCAAAATTGTAATTTTCATTTAACGTATTGTATATTCGAATAAATTAAACACATTTATTTAAAAAAAATGAATAAATAGATAAGTGTAAGTCATATATAATAGATATGTAGAAATAAGTAAAGATAATATTCGTATAATATTAGTATTCCCGTCTTCAGTCTATTGTTTACATTTTACGATGTACAGCGTTAATGTATAAAATTAATTAGAAATATCAGTTTAGACATTTCTCGTATACCTCTTGCAATCTCTATAAGCTTTTACCCTCTTGTTCGTAATAACCGCGCTTTCTCACTGCTAACAATTTTGATCTGTTGCGTTTCTTACTTAACAAAGCAATGATGTATGTAGTATGTGTTCGTATCGTGTAATCATTGTTCTTCTTACTCAAATAAATTGAATACACTTTATACGTAAACTGAAATACTGACCTAGATTTCAAAAATTTCATAGGCAACGATATCGTAGTGGTACTTTCTGGAAGTGGCACTGAACCCACACTGAAACTTAAATATATCCATACCACAAATATCATCAAAGTTGCATGGAACAATTGCAAGAACATACTTCTAATATTCTCTTCTTCGTTTGTGCAATCTGAAAAATAAGAATCTCTAACAAAATTAATCAAATGACATACTCACGTGTGTATATAAAAATTGTAGATCAATAAGCAATGAAGAATGAAGAATGATATGCGAAACCATTGTGAAGATCATCAATCCACGTAAAAATCGTTCAAAAGAAACAAATGGGGACAAGATTTCTTTCTTCCCTTTTCTTTCCTCCTTTTTCTTTTTATTTCTTTTTTTTTCTTCTTCTTCTTTTTAGGGTGAACGACCCTTTGATTCCTTGTTACCCCCTTATGGATCATCGCCTTAACATGACGACCGGTTTTCCATCGCTTTATAAATCGCTGAGTAAATGCGACTTATACGAGTATAGAGTGTGAACAAATTGTCTCAAAATTGAATTAAAGGATAACACAAATTAATATTTATATTCAAATACTTAACTACATTGATAAGATTTCAGAATTATGTGTGAAATTACATACGTGTATATGTAAAAAAGAGAAAGAATGGAAAGAGTTGTCTTATTCGGTTGTCTATGTTGAAAAAAAAAAAAAACAAGCTTTTGCCTCTATTCAAAGCAAACTGTGTGCAAGCATTTCGAAAATCTTTCGTGAGAAAAGAGACAAACCATGTCTTTTACTCTGTTATTCGCACTCGTATTATACATGCATTAACATTTTTCTCCATCGTTGCTCTCCGACGTTTCACGTTTATTATATTTTTCTCTAGTATAATGATAATATTCTAAGGCTTAATAACTAGTCAGCAATTGGAGTATATTATATCTTAGGTATGATACCAAGACGACACTTAACTACCTTTTAGATTAAAATGTGATTAACTTAATATTCTGCCGAAGACAAAAAGCACTGCGAAGGTCCTCTACTTTTTCTTTTCTTTTTCTCTCTATTTTTTTTTATCCTTTCCGTGTCTTCTGACAATGCGTGCCGATCTGTATTTCTTCCCGTATCACCTGTCGCTTCTACTGTCTTCTACCTTGGACGAGCGTGTACTATGTGCCTGAATCCTTGGTTAAGACGAGTGCATCGGACTGAGAAAGAAAAGTGATCAAAGAGGGGGAACATATAGTCTTCGAACGAAAAGATGGAGAAAGGGTGAACTTGGAGAGCCGAGATGTTGCTCGGAACGGTTTACGCGCGGTGTCGGCGGGGAGGAGGGGGAGGGGGAAGGGAGCAGACGAATGTCGGAATACATGGGAATATATATCGAAAGAAAAAGGAATAGAGAGAAAAGAAGAAGGGATAGTGTATGAGGTCGAAGGACCAACGTAATGTTCAGTACGCGAATAAAAGGAAATGTAAATTGAAGATGAAATAAATGATTATTTGATTAAAATGATATTTTGAACCGTAGAATGCAATGCAAGATAAATAGTATGAATTCTTCGAAAATATTTAACTTCTTATTTATTATAAATCTCAATGACATCTTTTTTCTATTAACTAGTTTTGAAATCTTCCTAAAAATCTCGAATTTTCCTACGAAATTTTACTTTGATGCGTGATGATTAATTACTGGTATAGATAAAAATTCCGTAATTCGTAACAGTGAAATTAGATGTAACGTCAAACTTCGTATAAACGATTATTAATCTCGTATATGAAATTAACGATACGTTGGTCATATAAATTTATTTTTTTACTTTACGATAATGCATAACTTGTAATGCAAAAAATTTCGTGGAAACTATTACGGCTCTTTATCAAGTCATGCGTAAGCATGATTATTTTATTTTTCTTTACGAATATCGTACACAATACGTATACCTATACCACAATAAGAAACATAAATTAATTCGTTATTGTGCGTATATATGTTTGTATCTTATTTCTATCTACGATCGGGAACACTGACGGACACTTAACGGTATTCGTTTATTCTACTTTCCTTCCCACTCTGTTCTTCAACTGTTTTAAGAAACATTTGGCCAACATGACCCCTTACTTAAAAATTGCAAAGTACTAAACGCAAAAAAGAAACAACAAATATGAATCCCAAATAAGATTTCAAAAATTAAATCGCTTACATGAACTTTTCTTAATTAATATCATTTTTATTGTTTCTCATAGTTTCTTAAATAACATAATTTTTATAGTTTTTTTTATCCTCGGTCACGAATAAGATTTATGATTATTCTAATATTTATGTTACAAACAAATAACCCAGTAATGGAAAAATTTTTCAATAATAAAAGTACGAAACCATCTTTTTATTTATCAACATAATTTTAATATCAAAATGTATGAATATGAATACATCCGGAAAAATTAAACAATTGAGAGATGTTTTCACCATTCTAAATATACTTCGTGTCATACAAATTTAATGTTGCTTGAATAATTAAGGGCAATATATTGACGTAAAATTTTATTTGATACGTTTCTTTGGGATATTATATTACCTGATAAATATTAAATTAAGATTATACAATCAGTAGAAAAGTTCAGTTCGAAAATATAATATGAACATGAAATTGAGAAATTTAGAAGAAGAAACACGTTTCATCGATGGAAGCAAATACAAGGGCACTTGGAACGTACTGGGCATGGAAGGAATCGGCAAATTTCTTTTACCACATAGTTAGTGCATAATATAACTCGGATACTGTTACAGATATGTTTCAAATAACTAATTCTTTGTAATCCTTTGTATTCCTTCTTGCCATAATCGTTTAAGGAAAAAGGGAAAATCGTTTTTTACTTTTTTAAGTAAAAAGAAAAGATGGTATAGAGATAAAAATATAAAGGTAATCGCGATATGAAATAAAACGCAAACGATGAAATATAAATAAGAGAAGAAAGAAGAAGAAGTAGGTATATGCATATTAGTGTTACCTAACTTTACCGGAATTGTGAATTAAATTTTATAAAATATGCATGCGAATTTCAATAATTGTACTTAAGAAATATGTATATACAGCACATGTATTGGTTTTTGAGCTCAACATTGAGCATTTCTCACGCGTAAGTCGACAGGTACCGTTATGCGACCATTTTCGTTGCTTCGTGTTCTAGAGTTTGTACGCATTTTTCATTTACCTACAGCTGAAGAATTCTAGGCTTAAAATACATACACGCATTCACTATACAAATTTCACCAACTTTATAAATTTCCCCCTCTTTCACACATACACGCAAGTTCGCGCGCGCCCGCGCGCTCAGTTTCGTTCTTTCTCTCTTACATACACACATACTTTTTCTACCGTTAGCTAGCTCGCTTCTTTACTCCTTTTCTTTTGCTCGTCAGCCTCATTTTAGCAAATGAACCGAATCTATTTGTCCGTAATAGATACCATCTTTGAGGGGGAGTTCCGCGATGGTACATTTCACGGCTATGGTGGTGTGTATTGGTCTCATGGACAAAAAATGGACGGAATTTGGTTCCAAAATGAATGTAGAGACAAACAATATATTTTCAACGATGGACTAACTTTTTGTGACAATGATTGGAAGTATTGTCAATTTCCTGATAGACGGTACGTATTTCTGAAAATATCTTAATAATCAAAGCTGAAAATGAAACTCGCCAATACCAATATCAAAAATAAAATGTACTGTATTATTTTAACCTATAATAAAGAAATTTATTTCACGAATAAGAAAACTAGTGATGAAAAACAGATCCTTTTTCACCAAATCGACGTTCTGTAGATATCAAACATGTCTTAAGCACGGATTGAAACCTGCTGGAGCAACGTTACGTACAAATAATCCAAATGAATTTGTTATTCCTCCTATGTGTCACGACGCAGGCATCGGAATTTTTAACCCGCGTACACACACTATTACATGCTACCAAAATTCAATGAAAGTACGTCAAATATAAAAGGCTGTCATACAACAATTATTAAATACAATCATTAAATTCCCGCGATATTCGAAGATACTTGAAATACCAACTACGAACTTGACAAACTGGATACGAAAGAACTGTCAGAAGGCATGGTCTGAACCAACTGGAAATCGAAAAGACCTTTACGAAAATTGGTTTTCCTACAAATTTGACATGGAGATTCTTTCAACGTTATTACCATTTTCAAATCATTCCTTTGAATCTTGGTGGAAAAGGTACAACTAAGCATATGTTAAATAATTAAAAACATCAAGTTTAATCACTTCTGATCTAATCACGTCTAATCCCTTCTACTTTTTTCTACTTCTTTCGAGACTGGCCACCTTCCGACGGGATTACACCTGGGAACAAACAAAAACGCTAAACCATTGCCTATGTCACTTATTAAAATGCTGAAGAAAATGAAAATATTGGTATATATACATTCAAAACTGGCCAAAATAGCAATTTTAACGGATGTAACGCTAAAAAATAGAATTGTATCTTTAACTATGTTTTATTTTAAATAAACGTTTAGTATCTTCTTCTTTCTATGACATTTAACATTTAAGGTATAACATTTAATTAATAGCTTAATTCTGTATTTACTTAATTGTAGAAACTTAAAAATGAAAGTAAAAATGAATTTATATCATCAATAATGTATTGCACATTCCCTGCAGTATCTATTACTAAAATTCTATTGCCAGTATCGGCTACAATTAAATATTCGCCTGTGCTATAATCCTCATTAATCTCTAACCTACTAGGGAATAAAAGGCTTTCACTTTCTGTGACAGGCAATAAATGTTGCACCAGTTGCAAAGGAATATCATTTTTAAATATTTTATTAAACAATTTAAAATAAGTTCATTAAGACATAAAAATAAGGATGATTCCTCAGTAACATTGAATCGTTCCAAACCTATCATGTTTAAACAAATAACTTCTTTGAAAATTTTATTAAATTTAACAATGTTGTCACTCTTATATAGAATTGATATTATATAAAAGTGGCAAATGAACAATATAAAGGATACATAAGAAACAGAAATAAGATATGAAATATATGGAAAAATATCATTGATTTAATGTTTTACCAGGTATGAATCATATTGTTTATACAGACTTTTAAACGTAATTCTATTTGCTATGGTTAATATTCCTATAACCATTTCAGTTACATTTTTAATATTATCATGTTTGTATAATACATCCACAGTTTCTTGAATTGAAGCAAATTCTGTTCCTTTAATTCTCAAATTGAATAATTCTTGATCAAGGATTTTCTTGTGATTTAGGAACATGAAATATTTGTGTATCTCTTCTTCAGTCAGTAATGCATTTTCTTGATCATTTGAACACATTGGTGGATTTAGGCTTGCTACATATATTCCCCTAATATCTTTCATATTTGGACCCTTTGATTTTTTAGATATTTTGTTACATAACATGAATGCTATCACGTACAATAGTCTTTGTCTAACAAAATTGAGAAGGGTATTAACATGTTTCATACCAAGTCATTTTTTCTACACAAAATGTAAAATTTAACATATACTACTGATAGTACACATGGCATGGAATGTGTTAAGGGAATATTCTCCTACAAAGCAGTCAAAAAATAATTTTTCTTTTCTTCTGTTTTCTTTTTCTGACTTTTAAACTTTTATGTGTAAATTTTATGAAATGATAAAATTATAATGATACTACTAAAGTAGACCAATTTTACTAGCTTTACAGATAAACTACCACTGAATCACTAAGTCTTGAAAATTATTTGTTTAATATATAAAAATTTATTTTCAGAAAATTTATTAAAAAGAATTATTGTCTGATTTATTAGACACATGTAATAGTAAATATAATTGTACAAAAATTACACTGCATCTTCTTGAAACATGTATGCAAAATATTAAATTTCTTACTTTAGAATAATTTCGTATTACCCTCGTAATTACCTTTGAAGTTTAGAAACTCTGTATCGTTAATAATCACAATATCATAATCAGTTTTATATAAAAATGAACGTACTTGTTTGTATAATTTAATACAATCTCGATCCACCAATCAATTCTAATTTCTTCCATATACATAATTAAATACAAATTACCAAATTTTCATTTTGCACAATATTTAATGACAAAACAAACATAAAATCATTAACCTACTTGAAAATCTGCAATCCAGTAACGTTTTGATGTGTTGTAATACTAATTTTTCCTGTTCTTTTCTGTTAAACAACGATTTTAAATTTCGACGTATACCTATGCCAATTTCTATTAATTCCATTACAGTATGTTGTATGTATTTGTGAAATATGAATTTTTATAAGTGATTCAAATAAATTCGGTAATTTAAAATGTTCACGAATGAAGAGAATGGAAACAAAAGTAGACAGTTATAAAAAATAGAGCAGTGTATTGATGGAAAGAATTCCAAACAACAGCAGCAATTGAATACGTATATAGATGTGCGATGCGCACAAATGGTACATTACTGTTTCATAATCTATTTATAATCACTACGATAACTATGTCCAATACTTATTTGACATTTTAGCTATAATAATAAAGTGCAAGGAAAGTAAAAATGGACTAAAATACATATAATATTGATTTATACAAAATAATTTCTTTTAGTTCCTTGTTCCCACACCATTCGTATAGTTTCTTTGTCATTACTCCTTTTGCACCTTACATCACAGCACATACTTTGCTTAAGAACACGTCGTAGGACGTCGTATTACAGGTTTATTTTGGTTAAGAATCATATATATTATTACTTATTAACCAAAAATATTGTGATTAATCTGATTCTCATCTGTTCAGTGTAAAAGTAAAAATTAACAATTTTATCGTCGACATTTGTTTTTCGCTTAAATTGAGTGCTACTTTGCAATTTAGCATTTAAATAATAATGTCGCAAACTACACTGGAGAACTCAAAAGTAAATGAATTAAATGAAATGTCTTCACATACTGTAAGAAATAAAATCAAACTTCTACATGTGTTAAAGGAACATCCTTTGCTATTGGCAGGTACAACTACTATAACCTATTTTGCTATTTGATTTACAAGTATAATGATGCAATTTAAATGCCTAATGAGATGTATATTAAAGTATATTTCTTTTAATTTTTTCAATATTTCAGGTAATTTGGGAGCTGTGGCTGCTTTTTCTTATGGTGTATGGAACTTTATACACGGAAGACAACGGTTATCGTATTATATGATGAATGCTCGCATTGCAGCACAGAGTGTAGCATTAGTCACTATATTTAGTGCTCTTCTGTCAAAGGTGAAATCTGATGAATCTAATAAATCTGATGAATCTAATAAATCTGATGAATCTAATAAATCTGATGAATCTAATAAATCTGATGAATCTAATAAATCTGATGAATCTAATAAATCTGATGAATCTAATAAATCTGATGAATCTAATAAATCTGATAAACATTGAATACTGAGTTAAAAAATATAGCAATTGAGCATATACAATTCAATCAATGATAAATATTATATAAAAAAGCATGTTATTATAGTTGTAAAAGCTTATATTATAAAAGCACTGCAACATATTTTGATTTCATTTGTCTATAAAATTTATTCAGCAGTAATTTTGATAAGAAAACGTAAATTCTATGGGTTAATATTGAAATTGTTTAAGGAAACTATTCTTTATTTATAAAGATTAACATTTCATATTACAGATACTGTCTTACTAAATATGTTAAGACTTATTGTAGAATCACCTATCAAATTTAAGTGAAGCAATGTCATTATGTTTACTAGAATTGTTCGTGTATTATTACAATATTTAGAATATTTAGAAGCGAATTTTAATGATTCATTTTATATGGTTATTCCTGGAAATGATATTTAGGATAGTTGATTCTGTAAAAAAAAAAAAAAAGAGTTACGACTTTTATAATTATGATCAACGAAATGTGTTTACTTTCGTAAAAATCTTACCCTATTAATGGCGTTTCGTAATAGAAAGATTTTTGTTATTTGTTATCATCAAAAGAATTTTTTATATTTGTATATTTGTATCTTCATTCGAATTCTCACAATTTGGAATTTGTTGAACTGTTATCACTGTATGTTTCCACTTGGCATTTTCTTTAATGCACATTGTTAATTGCTCAAACCATTTCTGAACATCTTCGTTTGAGTATAATTCTACAATATCGCGCTTCTCATTACCATTTATATAATTGATTATCCGTAATTGATTTTTTACTGCTTTTGATTGGCGAACGATGGTTTTCTAAAATCCAATAATATTATAATACTATTAATAGAAAATTTTAAAAGATATATTCTGATGTTTCATTTCACCTTGTTTATACAAATTATACAAACAGGAGTTTGTAACTTTTCTAAACATTTTTTTGATTTCCAAGCTTGCAATTGAAATCCCTGTAATCGTATCCAACATCGTTGACTATTTACAATTGCGAATCCGGCGCAAACTTCTTTATCGATGTAGTACGGTTGAACAGCTAAGCGACAACAAAAATGTCCAAAAAGTGGCAAGGTGTGAACTTTATTCGCAAAATTATTTAATATTAGTTCATGTGAACGTATGTCCCCATCGGTATCGTCAAGTGTCATCTTTGCGTATGCCATCAACTCAAATTGCGGTGCTTTATTAGACACATATTCATCTCGTAGAGTTGCTGCGAATGTTCTACCTACAGTTTTTGAAATTGAAGAATGAATAGTTCTTCTAATTTTTCTCGGAGTACTGGCAATGCTGAGATCCTCTTGTAAAATATGACTATAAACTTCTAAAGACAATTCAAATTCAGCTGATACATTATGGAATAATAAAACGTCAGGAAAGCTAATATCCGTTTGTTTTCTATCAATGGGAAAAAGTAAGCTTGTATCATGAACTTCTGCGCCAACTCGAACTATACAAAATATTGCAAATCTTCGATAATCTCCGCGATTTTTAAAATGATCAGAATCTTTCCACATCAAAGGAAATCTAAGATCTGAGATAGATAACTTTCCTTTACTTTCTGAAGTGCTGAAACATACAATGCTATATAGTATTACCTACAGTCGTACTTTTAATGTATTTTTCTAAATAAATTAATAATACATCGTTTTCAATGATGCATCTCTTCGTTGATGTTCTAATTCAATCATATAGGTAAACATTCTTTTGCTTGAGGTAAACAAGGCACGTGCTGCTTCCAAACATTGTGCAGGGTGTCGTGCAGCAGCTAACAGTCTTGCAGAGCCTTCTTTTATTTTAGTTTCTAATTCTATTTTTTGCTCTAAATCATATTCCTAAACAAAATTATTTTTATAAAAATGATTTCTATTATTACGTTCACTATTTTTTATTACACAAATTTCTAATCTAGCTATAATTTTCAAAAAATATTTTTCCATATACACAATTCATAATGATAAAATATTCTGTGTAAACAAATCAATGAAAATAGTTTGTAATAAATTTTTTGACAAGTTTCAAGCCTGGTTCTTACTAGTTGCATTAATTGCATGTATAAAATATACAATATTTTGTAAATTATTTTTCATATTATATAGCAATGATACACAATAACCAGTAATATGTTTATATACAACTTGTGTTTGTTTAAACATTTCTAATTTCATTATTTTACAAAATATAGAATGAGAACTGACATTGAATACTCTGACTGCCATGATGTGATAATATTTTCACAATCATTACTAATATAATTATAGCATAATTATTAATAAAGGAGCATTTATATCAAATTTATTTAACTTTATTATATAACTTTATTTGTCCTTGGCAAATTAATTATAAATATTTATTTATTAGACACGTGCATTAGATTAATTCACACTTTTCGATTGAGCGTGAAAAATTTTAAAACAATTTTCAATAGCAATTTGTGGAAAGGACACATAAGTACCATTCGTCTTCTTTTCCTTCTAGCAGTACAAATTCTGCATAATCTTTATGCATTTGTTAACTATGTCCTGTCCAATAATTTTGATTATTTTCTTGTAGTCTTATATCACTGAATAACTAGGACTTGAGTTGTACTTCCTTCAAGTGTGTACTTAGTAATGTCAATTACAAGCATTTTGATAATGTTTAACTCATTTGATTGTGTACTGTATGATTTATTCATTGTGGTTACCCATGTTTCAATGACACATAAAAGAAATTTTTTGTATCATATTGAATTTATTGAATTTGTTACATAAATCTAGTTAGTATTAAATAATGTATAATTCAATAAGTGTAAAATAATTTTTTTTGGTCACTTTTTTGTTTTTAATGAAAGTAGATTCTCAGTTACGCAATCATTTTCTGACTAAATGACCAACTTCTCATAGATTTATTATAATAAATGATACACATTAGTTTCATAACTTTTTTCTTTTTTTGGAACAAATGACTTTAATTATCTTTGTTGAATGTATCAATATTGGTAATGATATTTAGAGTTCTTCCTTAAATTTCAATTTCAAATCAAATAAAATATTCATTTCAAAGATAAAGCTTGATGTTCTTACATTACAAATAATAATTACTCTAAATTCAGCAAAATAGCTGTATAGGCGAGTATGAAATATAAGACTTTTAGATCTCACAGAAAAAAGAGAAAATTAATTGTTTGCTAAACTTGCATCCAATTAGAAAGCATTTAACTAGAATAAATTAAAGTTGATAAGGGAATATGGTATCTGTAGAAGGCTTAATCATAATTGCTGAGAGTACAACGTTACATCTACAAGATATCGATCGATAACTGCTGATTATGTGAGATCATCTTTACATCGTAGTGTGTAATAACCGTTGAACAGCGAAATCACATATGTGATTGTATGTGACAATGATTAATCAAAGTGTTAAAATTCCTAGATTTGTCGTGTTCATTTTTTAATAATATTTAAAATAAAATTTGTACGTATTACTTTATAAGACATGACAGTTAATACCTTTCAAATATAAAACGTAACCTATATTTTCTTATAATAATTTATTTAAAAGGCATAAAAAGGCACAAAAGCTATTTCTTCGATAGTTTTAAAAAGTTTATGAACCACAGAAATTTTATGCAAGGCAATAATGCAAATTAAATAACAAAATTTAATCAATTACCGAAAATTTACATACCGCTACATTTTTACAATTTCGAATACTTTCCCGTCTTCGAACTCGTGCCTGATAATCATTTAACGAACGCAAATAATTATGTTCTTCCTCTGAAGAATTACTTGATAGACCACGTCGTAGCGTCCCATTTTTTTTACGTGGCGCCATTTTGAAACTTCATTTTATACCTTCAATAGTAACGGTTTTTCAGCCATTATAGAAAAATATGGACGAAAAGCACACATAGAAGGAAAAAATAAGGGAAAATTATTTTGTACGAAAAATTAATTTTACGAACTTACAAACTCGTGCAACATGAAATATAAAAAGTGTTAAATAAATTTCTTGAAAATTCGAAAGATATATTTGATATATAGATATTCATAAGACAGTGATTAATATAAAGTAAGATATTTAATGAGCACAAATTTTTTATTTCTTTTCCTTGTCCTTCTCTTTGTCCTTTTCTTTTTCTTTTTCTTTATCTTTATCTTTATCTTTATCTTTATCTTTATCCTTATTTTGCTGAAGAGATCCAACGGCTTGACGAACAGCTTCAGAATGAGGATCGACACCTGGTAAATTTTCCAAAACTGATTGTAAAAATGCTGGATCAGACATAACAGCAGCATAATCTTCTTCAACTTCCATTGCTTCCTCTTTAAGGGATTCAAGTTCTTCTATAAAAGAAAATAATAGCAATAATAATATATTGTGTACAAATGTTTAAATACATGATCATATACGTATATACGTGTAGTTGTCATACGTTGATCTTGCATAGACATTTGCATTGCAAAAGCAATTTGTTCCTCTTCAGTCATACGTGCAAAATCGGGTGTATTTATATTAGTGGGAGCTGTATTGTCGGCCGTTGAAGACGAAGCTTCTGCACCTTCGAGTGACATAGCAAGTGCACGTTTTAACATTGCCTCTTCATTATGTACTTCTTTAATCGTTTCTGATCGTTTGTTTGTAGTCGTTTCATTAGCCTGTGCACGCCGTGCTTCATCTTCTTGTCGCTGTCGTTGTTCTTCCATAGAAACACGTAGTGCCTATGTAAATAAAACGATAATCATAAATAACATAAAATTGAATTTCACTAAAAAAGGAAGATTATAAAATACAAACTAATGCCAATTCTGGATCCTCATTTGGATCAACACCAAACTCATAGGCAGATCCTCCCATGCCTGTGCCACCCATTCCATCTTCTCCTTGAAGTATAGGAGAAGAAATTAATGCATCAGATAAATGTGGTCCAGGTGGAACTGAGATCAAATAGCTGCCTGTTCCATCTTTTCCATTAAGAGCGTGGATAAAGGTTGCCAATACTTCATTATTACTGCTTTCTTCACCAAAACTAATCACATCCACATTAACTTTCTCCTTTTTTAATCTTTTCGCTAATTTCACAAGTTCTTTCTCATCGATTTCTATGGGACTACCAATAAAGGCCACAATGCGCATTTTATGGTTTCTACCTTGACGATGTTTTAGCGCCAGCTGTTGATTAATATTTTTATTTACAAATATTACAAGTTCTGTGAAATAAATATGTAAATATAAAAGTAGTTATTATACTCACATGCGCAATTCGTATTCCTGTAATTAGATTTAGGTTACCATTTGGTTGTACCTGATGAAGTTTTGATAAAATCCTGCCCACATCGCTAGTAAGCGTAGCTAACACCTCAACGCTGTTTAAAAGGAAAGTTATTACATGAAGGGTGAAAAATATTTCCTACCAGTGGGGTATAGAGTATAGTTTGACATACTTAGCTAACGTTATTAAACCAACGTTGTTTTCAGGATTCGAACGCGTTTTCGAATGACAAAGCAAATTAACAGCATCTTGTTGTGCTTGCAATCGTGTCGGTAAATAATCTCCATTTCTCATATAATCGCTATTGTCGACACTGCAAATACCCCGAGTTATATATTATTTAAAACAGATTTAAAAGAAATTATTTTAACCGATTCATATAACCTATATTTAATTAGTTTACAAAAATGGAAATATTTGATCTACATTTTAAATAATACACATCACTTGTTACATATTTTATCTATGATTATGTTTTGGATCAAATTCTAAGTTCATTAAAGTTTTTTTAAAAAGGAACAATTAATCGCAAATATGCTTTAAAATATTTCAACTTTGCACTGTCATTCACACTATCATTTACAATATTATTGAAATATTATTGCCGTTTGAAAACAAGAGATTTTAACAACATGAGATGTAATGAAATTTAAAAAGAAATATAATATCGAAAATCAAGAAATATATTGCTCATTGTAAATGTACAATAAATAAATTCGAGGACGTACCATATCATTGTACTTTCCAGTACCATCTTGGTTCGAATCACTAAATCGTTTCATTCCGTTTCGTTCCGTTCTGTCATATTTCGTTGCAATCGTCTGTGTTCACCAGTTTCATTTAGTTCCATTCCGTTCCTTTTAATCCATTTGTTTACACAACAATTGGAAAAATTTTCGAAAAATTTCAAATGTTAATGTTTCTTGAAAATAAAAATAACTAATCAATATTGATCGATTCCAAAGGAAGAAAATGGTATTGCAGAAGAAAGGAAAAAATTATATTTTACGTGCGAATAAAATTATCGTACTATATATGTATATGTGCGTGCATGTGCATGTATATAGGTAATCTTTAGTTTAAATACAATACAAAGTATTATTTGATTATGCTTAAATAAAAAATTTGTAACATTATGACGGTAACAAAAGGAAGTAGAACAATAGAAAAGAAATTTAGGAATTAGAAATATAGAAATAGAGGAAATTTGAAAGCGCGAAAAAAAGAAAGGAAGAGAAGATGTCGGTGGTTGAAAGGAGTTAAAGAGTAAAGGAAGAATCGAGGATTTTGTCCAAATGGAGTGTTGAATATTTCGGTGCTTGGTCCATTAATGTTGCTTCTTCGTAAGTTGGTGGCTGATCATTATAACACCTTGACTTTAATATTTTTCTAGTTCGTCTTCTATTATTAAAAGTGCGTATGATAATTATGAGCGGTCCTAAAAGTAACATAACAACGCCGATTGCAAGCATAATTATGGCAATAGCTGTACCAACTCGATTGATAGGAAGGCGTTGCGATTTTGTTTCACTCTTATTGTTTCCTACATCTTTATAGGATATTTCGTTATTTTCATGCTCAAATAAATTTCTTTCATTCAGCCTGATAAAATTAGTAGAACCAAAATCTTTAAATTCAAACGAAACACTTGATGTACTATTATTTATCATAGTGTTTTCTCTCCCGTAAGAATCTTCATTAAAAGCAAGTGGAATAATAACATTCTTTTTGTGATTTATTTTTTCTACTTCATTTTTGTTGTTTGAATGAATTGACGAAGTTTGAATTGCGTATACATTTCTAGCTTCATAGTCATGACGAATTGCTGTTTGGTCCTTAATCATTGAAATTATTTTAGATATTCCATTACCAATACTACTCGTTGTATGAGAGGTATACAAATCACGCGGCCACTGTTTTTTCGATGTAGTGTTAGAATGATCAATAGTAACATTTTTTCGTTGGCTTTCGATTCGAAAGTTTATAATTTTGAGACGATTTTCCGTGATATTTATTTCTGTAAATAATTTATCTTCGTTCCAGGTTGTAAATTTTTCCTGTGAAAATAGTATCATCGAATATTTTCTTCATTTTTATTTTTAAGCGTGCATAAAAAAATAATAAAAGCTATAAGTGAGAAATACTAAAGTAATTAGATAATTTGAAGCAATTAAATGAAGAAATATATATATGTACGCCATTTACATATAAGATATCAATTTTTATCATTAAGAATACGATTGATCATCATTATTATTCAGTTTAAATACCGATTGTTAAATATTCATTTTAACTATAATTAGTAATTATTTATTTACAGAGATGACATTTTCCAAAATATTTAATAATCGCATTAATCGGGTTATTTATCACGAACCGTAACTTCGAATATTTTTCTAGTCGATTAGAGTGTCGAACCTGTATGTTAATTGTGTCATTTTGTGCCTTTGTTCTTTCACATAGGGATATTGCACCTTTTTGTAAAAGTATAATTCCAACAATACTCCAAATAGTTAGCTGAAAGATGATTGTCAATTTTGGAGCCCATTTATTCATTTTTATGTACAAAGACATCTTAAAAAAAAAAAAAAAATGTCTTTCACAGATAACGTATAACTCGCTTGCTCCTGAATCATTAAATAAAAATCAATAATCTTCAAAACGTATCGTTCCATAAAAATTACTTTACTAACTTACTTTAATATAAATTTCACTTTTTCATTCTGAAGATAACCTACTCGTTGCCTGGTAGACTCAATTTGTGGTTTCTGAAAGACTAAAATTACTTTAATGTTTATAAACTTTAAAGAAAAAACAAAATTCTGCACATACACATATATATAAAACATATGCAAGCACGCACGCACGCACGCACGCATACACAACATATATATATATATATAGTTATAATCGCATTGATATCAATGTTTAGAGTGATCTTTAATGAATTGATAATTAATGTTTAATAAATCTATTTTTGAATAAATTGAAAAATCTAAACTAAATTATGCATAATGTTACTTCGATGCCGTTTCTGTGGTTAATGCTCCCAATAAATCTAGCAACATATAGATAATTAATTATAGATAATTAAAGAAAAATAAAATCGTTAGTAGGATTTAATGCTCACATACTCTTATATTACTAATAGAAAAATAGCAAATCCCTATTTTGTATGCATTTATCGTAGTACATACAATATCCATTTTTATTACCTTAAATATTCAGTGCGATAACATATCTCTTTTACCTTTGTTTATCACGTTTCTTCTTCTAGTCTATAAAACACTATATCGAAACATTGTTGATAAAGATTAATCAACACGAACATATTATAGATTTTTTTACATATCCATGTCGATTTATACTAATCGGTCATAACTGTTGCTTTACACTCGTTCAATAGCTTGTTCGACCATTCTGATCGACTAATTGTTCAATCTTAATTTATCGTGAACGAATAATGCATACGTCATACGTTGTGTATACGTAGCTACTTGCTGGACATTACCAATTGTATTTCATAGATTATATTGTTCGTATTCACTATTCAATACAATTGCGTTTACATTTTTTTTTCTTCACTCTTTTTTATTAATTTCCTTGTTCTTGTACATTTAAAATATAATATTTACTATACAGTAATATGAAATCTAAATATATTTACGTAACATTTTGTTCTAGTCATCAAAATGACTAAAAATGGTGATTACAGAAAGCACAATTACTTATTTTAACTTTAATATTTACAGGACCAACTATACGTAGCTGAATAATCGTAACATGTCCTGTTATAATTAGATTTTTATCCTTCACATGAAATTATACATATATATTGTATATTATGGAATTTAATAAAAAATAAAAACATGGAATACTCTTAACAAAAGACGATATAGAAGAAAGATTGAAAAATAAAATAAAATAACGAAAGTACGACAGTTTAACAGTATTTACTAACAAATTTGTATATTATATTCTTTAAATAGTGTATTGGTTATTAACAATTTGCGATATTCGTTTTGTCCAATAATTGAGCAGCGCCATCTGTGGAAGTTGAATAGAATATATGTAAAGCTACTTATCAAAGAAACTCACAATTTTCCCCAAGTTTTTATTTTTAATTAATTTAATGACGTTTTATGTTGAATTTCTTATCTTCGCGAAATATACAATTTTGACAAGTTTCTGAAATAATTATTGTAACAATATTTTTAGTTTGTAATTCCAAATTATTAAAGTATAATTATGTTATACGGCTATGCTAGAGGATTTTTGTACGGTAATGTAAATCTTTCATGTAAGCAACAAAGAATGACTTGTAACTATGAATACACATGTATTCATATGTACTCATATGTGTAAGTATATCTAGTTACAGATAGTATATATGTACAAGTAGTTACAATAAGATTGAATAATGCTTAAAATGCGAGATAGTGAAGAATTTAAACTCGTAACTCGTCGAAAAAAACGTATATCACATAATCGAACAAATTGTAATTTGAGTACTTCTTCCTATATCAACGATGACGATGGTGCTGACCTCAACATTAATTACGAAAGCATTTTTAGGTAAGAAATTTTTATATATGTATTTCGTGAAGGTGTGTATGCATATCTTTTAAATTAATTTTATAATAATTTTCCAGAAAACTACTAGAAGCTGAAGTTGAATTGAAATATTCATCGTTTGGTGATAACATTTTTCATTGTTTGAAAGATTCATTAATTGCTTTAAATGCTAGTGGCATTTCTGATATATTATGCTATGGTTTAGGTCATTTTTCTAGTTGCAGATCTTCTAAATATCAATTGGCATTTCTTTTATCTTTGAAAAAACATTATGACTCTCAGATATATGTATATGATCCAATTTTTTCTTCAATAGAAATTAAGCTTTTAAACGAACTTCATTGTAATGTTATAAAAATTAACGAGGAAGGCAAACGCATTATACGTGATAATATTACATTAGTATATATGCCACATTGTTCGGTACATTTAATTAATAACTTCCTTTATGCAAATTGGTGTAAGAAGTTAGCAAAGTGCATTCTCTTAACAAATAGTTTCTCAATTGTCGTAGACAATTTGAAAAAGACAAATGGATCGACTCTCACAGATTATGTTTTACGTATTCAACCATATGTTACAGAAATTGTTTTACGAAATGATTTCACATATGAGGAAGCATTCAATGACTTAAATATTCATATATTTCTTGATCAGAATATTAGTACGATTCCTGAAAGTTTTTGGAATAAACGAGAGATCCCTTGCTATCAAGATACAGAAATTGACTATTTAACTGCTAAACAAACTGAAGAAATAGATGCTATGAATTGTAATTATATTATTTACATGTTATTAAGTAAATTAGCATTTTGTAACATTACATATCAATTTCTCCAGGCATATTATGCTATTAATATTACTACGTCACATATAAATGTGCTCAATCAAATTTTAATGAATTATGTAAATTAAAAATATACAATTTTCATATAAATTTAAGAAATAGAATGTTAATATTTGAATCGTAAGAAATAGTTCATTCTGTTTGTTATAGATTGCAAGAAAGATGAAACCTAATGCAAAATTACTTCGCTCACTTATACAAGAAATTCGGCAAGTATCATCTGAAAAAAAAGTAAAAAACAACATTATGATTCAATATATATTTGAACAAGCAAGATCACATAGGGAAACATCTGAAGTCCTATGTAAAGCACGAGAAGAGTTGGAAAACTTGGCAGAAACATACTTTTGTTATCTAAATTCTCAACGTATATGTAAAGAAATTCAAGTCCAATATACTGGTAAGGGTGAACGAAGTATCAAAGAAACTGCAGATCTTGTGGGATTCAAATTACCTTATGATCCAAAATGAAGTCTCTTTTAAATAATAATTGAATTAATCTAGATTTATTAGCATACAAAATATCATGAAAAATAATAAGAAGAAAGTACAATTATAAAAGGTATTTGTTAAAGTACAAAATAAATGTTGATTAACTATAATTGACTCATGAGTATTCTTTACGGATACACTTAGCTATAGTTGATAATTGCATATTACTGGTGCCTTCGTATATAGTGCCGATTTTGGAATCTCTGAAATATTTTTCTTGTGGAAAATCAGTTGTGAATCCTACTCCACCCATAAAGTCAATACATTTTGCAGTAACACGTAAAGCTGTTTCTATGTTAAAAGAGATACATGTACGTTATAATTTATGCACAATGTCGATATTTTAATACCCTATAGCTTTTGAGAAAGAAAAGAATAGATATTACCGGAAGCAAAAAGTTTTGCCATAGCAGCTTCTTTTATTACATCTTTTTTAACGTCAACTAATCTGGCTGCATTATATACCAATAGTCTGGCACATTCAAGTTCTGTGGCCACTTGAGCAATTTGATGTTGCATGGACTACAAACAGATAAGACATTTAAAACGTTTCATATTGGTACCCATAACGTTAAAAGTAATTTAATTTTTTTCTTGTACTTGAAATGAGAATATGTCTTTTCCAAATTGCCTCCTTTCTAGTGTGTATGGTATTGTGGCATCTAAGCACCCCTGTGCTATTCCAATCATTTGTGCTCCAATACCGATTCGGCCTTCATTTAAAAATCCTGCGGCATATTTGTATCCATGTCCAAATTGTCCTAAGATATTATTTTCAGGAACCTTAATTCATGAAATGAATAAAGATTGCGAAAATTAAGATCTTTATGCAATGCATTTTCGAAGCTCTTCTGTACATGTTTCACAAAATCAATTCATTTACTCTAACGTTGTCGAAGTGAATCATACAGGTACCGGATGCCTTAATTCCTAACTTATCCTCCGGTTTGGCGACTGTCAATCCAGGTGTATCTCGTTCAACAAAAAAAGTCGTAATCCCACGGTATCCCTGTACCAAAGATTTGTTATTATTATGCGATAGTCGTATTTATGGATCTTTTGCAATTTTAACTTTACTAAATTGCATTTCTAAAATTTTTTCTTAAAATTGCCAAAATTATCATTTAGCAAAGATAAAGATATAGAAAAATGAATTTGGTCAAAGATCGAAGTTTACACAATCGACTATTTAAATGAGTTGACAGAACAACGAATTGACAGAAACCTAATGCGATAAGAATTGTAAAATGAACAAAATCTATCATAGCTTCAGATTACAATTCTATGTGGTATCGTATCAATTAAAGTCGTTACTTGAAGGATTTCGTTATATGTATCTATTCGACAAACATATATTCATTTTTTCAAACTTTAAATTATAAAATCAATTCAGTTAAACTTTGTTTCTTTCCTTTTTCTCTTTTCTAATATCATTACAGATTACATAATATTATACGGTATAATTTTATAATATAATTATAAACATAATTTATAGTATTTAATAATAATTCAATGGAATACAATAAAAAGTATATTAAGCTTACGGCAGAAGGATTTGCGTTAGCGAAAACTAAAAATAATTCCGCAATATCGGAATTTGAAATCCACATTTTTGTTCCATTTATCACATATTCAGATCCATCCCTTTTTGCTTCAGTTTTTAAAGAAAAAGCATCTGATCCTGAACCGGGTTCTGTAAGACAAAAGCTTCCCACCTAGAAAAAAATGACAAATGCGGAAGAAAGAGAAAAACATACATATTTTTATTGAATTGATTTCTTTTACATGTTTTGCTGAAATTTACCGCACTTTAACGTAAGTTCTATTACTTACGTAATCTTGTGCTAATTTCGGCAGATATTTCGCTTTTTGTTCTTCCGTAGCGACTTTAGTGATTAATGAATTCACCAAGGTATTATGGATATCAACTAAAGCTGCTACAGATCCATCAATTTTGGCAACTTCTTCGACTGATAAAATTGTTGTCATAAAGTTACATCCAGATCCACCATATTTTTCTGGTATTTCAATACCCATTAACTATCAATGGATCAATTAAAGATGTCGAGTGCCATTCAAAAATGCAAAAAGAAATTTGTAAGAATAAAGGTAAATATTTCGAATGAACTACTTAGGTTGAAAATCAATATTACTGTAAATAAAAAACTTACACCATTCTCGAAAAGCTTTCGTAGCAGCCCTTCGTCTATTTTACTCTCTTTCTCCATTTTTCGTACAAGGGGAGAAATTTCCTCTTTCGCCAATTTACCAACTAGCAAGTTTTGCAAAATTTATATTTTATATCTATCCATTACGACGTAAAATTTGCAAGTAAAAATTAAATACAAAGTTGAGTTTGCATCCTCATAAGTAAATAAGCAATCTACTACGAAATATTCGATAATAATAACAATTACCACTTTCTTTCATTAACAGTTCCTCATCTGAAAATTGGGATAAAGGTCCAGGACAGTGATTCATTCGTGCTACACAAGCACTGATGTGCCTTTTGGTACATATTTTTCGTGATATCTGAAAATTGATTTCATTGGTCTATTGTCATTTTTAAATACGTATATTATGACTATATGAACTACGTTTCTAAACTATTTCTTGTTGAAGAACGATATCTAATTAATATAAACAAATTATTCGAATACATATTTAATTCATAAAATTGACACAGTTTCTATATCGTTATAAAAATAAAGTAAAATATTTAAGCAATACAATCATGAATCAATACATGAAATGAATAGAAAAAAAAAGCAATAAAAGTAAAATTTATAATCCTTACGTGCCACGTCATCAAATTAAAATTATACGTTATTTCTTCCTTTTGTATTGTATTGGAGTTATTAAAGCAACTGATTTAAATTTGCTTAATCACTGTTATTAAACAGTGTTCAAAAGTTATGCGAACGGTAGAAACTTTTATATGTACGTACCTGTTCAATTAAAGATGTATATAAATTCATGTTCAGTTTAGTATCTATATTTTAAATTGCAAAATACAAATTAATTCCGATGACATTCACAAGAAATATAAATTGATGATATATGAAATATGTTAATATTTATAAAAATCCAATAACTCCGAAAATGAGAGAAAATGTAAATCAGTGCTGTTCGATCTGAGACTAGATCGGAGACTGTAGTATTATCTCGATCGTAATATCGTACATAATATGCCGATCTTGAAGTTTCACTTCCTGTTGATTTTATACATGTATAAAGAGACCAAACAGGTTCTTATGTAATAAGAAGGATGATGTAAATTCTTCTTAATGAAATGTCCAAAACGTAATAATTACTATTTATGTAATACATTTATTAAAAATTATAAAGTTTCTATATTTATGTGTGTTTCAATTGTGAAACATTGCACACATATATGGATTTATATATACTTAATTATTTAGATATATCTTGAAAAATTGTTTTATCTAGTATATATAATTGTATCTATGTAAAATTTATATTGTTCGAAATCAGGCTTTCATAAGTTATAAAAACAAATTATTTTCGATGTTTCTGCTTAATATTCTGAACGATTTGAAAATTTCTAAATAATTGAAAAATAAGTAAAAGAAAATGAAAAGTGGCTTGGAGATTATACGGATATATTTTTCTTCTACGATATGCTTTAACATGATGTTTTAATATTAACCACTACGCGAACAATTGAGTTCCCGTTAAATCTAGAAATGGAAATACATCTTGTACAAAGTACAATTGAATTTCACTCACATATTTATCAGTGTACGTTAATCTTCTAGTTGTTTCAAAGATTTGGGTTTATTTGTAATTTAACTTCTTCATCGAAATATATTAGCTCAGCTTAATTAATTCACCTGTTTTACGCTAATCGCCTATTTTCCAAATATCAAAAATACATTATCACATTAGAATTTCAGTCTCTTCGTTATAGTAACGGTTTCAAATTAATCATTATTTATTAGTATATGTATACCCTTCTAAAATCTAATAAAAGACGTTATTGGAAATTTTTCAAGTTATGTATCGCAAATCAAATACATATATATACACATATATATTACAATTGGTGAAAGGATACGAAACGGGTATCAAGTATGTAGATGAATCGACGAATGAATAAATGCATAGAAAGTGTGCAATGCATTAGAATACATGATATCATTTGTTATGACTATTGTACATAAACCTATATAATTAAGGAAATATTTTAATAATTTGTAATAATAATTAACATATCACGCAAAATTAATCGCGAGCAGAATTTTAAATTCATCGACAAATATATGCTGGTTTAGTTTTGCTGTACTCATGATAAATATTTTACATATTTTATATTGTCACAGTGACAAAAAAAATGTCAAACATTTTCAATGAGTGGTATGACATTGACTTTTGATGACTTTTGGTACGTACATATTATACGCAATATCATTGGTTGTATAAAACTCGAATGTTGATTGGATACCTAGCTTAAAAGACAGCCAACCAGATGGTATATTTTCAAGAAGGGATCTTTCGTTGGATTACTCTTGAAGGCTTGTAGATCAGTTGCGCATCAGTATTATGCGCACAATCTATGTACGTATGTATAATTAGTTGGAGAGAAAGAAAGTAGGTACATGAAGTAAAGACGAAGAAGCTTAGTATTGATAACGAATTTGTAATAAATTATTTACAAATATTAAACTCTGTATATGGTCAAGGGAAGTTTAAACATGAAAATTTCGACTAAGATGAATACAGCTAGTAAATAAATTAAAAAATCATAGGTTAAAAATTATAATTGTTCATAAGGCTGAATACAAAAAAAAATAAAAAAAAAAATAAAAACGTAGAACTGGAAGTGAGTGCATTGAAAGTGGAAAGGAGAAGATAGAGGTGGAAGTGGAAGTGGAAGTGGAAGTGGAAGTGGAAGTGGCGGTGGTGGTGGTGGTAGTGGTGGCGGTGGTAGAAATAGTGGTGGTGGCAGTACCAGCTAACCAGGAGGTGGAGGAGGTTTGGGGAAGGTTTGCCAGCCGCCGGAAGAGCATCGACGGCGACGGGGGCGGGGAAGCTGTCCACCGAACGGAACGACCGCTCGGTGATACGAGTCGCAAGTCGAACGGTTCACGAAACGAATACGGATATATCGATTATCAACGATAGTTGCCGATTTTGTGTTAGGTAAGTCTCATTGAATAATGTTAGAAAATATCACTATAGATACAATTTACTTCGAAACTTGCAGTGCTGTTAAAAGACGAAAGAATGAAGTTCTAAATAACTGACACGAATGACGTAGCGTAAGGGGTGTGTCGTGATGATTGGGCGGCAATCTTAGTAGATTTTTTGTATATTTGTAGACACTTTTCAACGATACGTAATCCCCAAGTCATAGGAATCCTATTTTTAATCATTTTTAGAATATTTCGTAAAAGTACGTTGATAATTACTGTCAGGATACTCGCTGTCATAATTACGCCATTGAAAACCATTACTCTCCATTGCTGTATCGCCATTTGCATTGTTAAACCATTGACCTTCTTTTCGTACTTATGTTCGTTAAGTATGAAGTTTAACCGAAAGTTTACGCTTCAACGTGGTTGTAATGCTATTTTATATTTCCCTTTTTCATTTGATACAATATTTTGTTGCATTATATATATATATATATTTGATGGAAAAGCATGATAATAAAAATAAAAATTACGACGTTTATATTGGGTTTTCATTTGATAAATTTGAGAATTCATACTATTTTAGTATATATATATATGGATAATAATTTATAATAAAAACTATCAGGTTTTGAGAAACATGTTCATCAATTTCTTCTTGTCATTTTCTGTATGTATTTTATCCATTTGTTATATAGTTGGTAATGAAAGGATAATCAATTTTTAACAAGATACAAATAAAGTAAAAATGAATTTGCTTTTCAATGTCCCCGATGTATACGCATGCGCGCAAATATGAAATTTACTCACATTTGTATAGAGTAACAAATTGACACATACGCATACGCACGAGGGTGGGCGCGCGCTCATACAGATAAATGCGCGCGTGCGCGCGCACACACACAGAGGTCATTTGGGCGTATTTACACGAATAACCATACGCTGAGTTCGTTTCGACGTCCCTATGATCGGATTCGTACGCAGGAATAAAATGTCAGCATACCCCATGTATGCACACGCGCGCGCGTAAGTGTCTCAAGAATTTCATATTGTCTCCATTATTTTTACGAAAGATAATTACGAAAGAAAGTGTAAATACGAATGTAAATGTTTCTTTACAATAATAAGCGACCATTTTTCTTACAACTCCAGTCTACCGGTGTTGCAATCTATCGTCGCTTGGAAATGAACTTGCTGTTCTCAAGTTTCGATTCTATAGAAAGCATGTTCACCTGTGCATCGAGCAGTTTATGGTAGTTTAAACTTTTTGTTTCACTTTTTTTCTTTTTATCCGAATGCGTTTCATTTCAATTCATCGGTAATTATAGTTTTTTATTTCACTAAGTGTGCTGGGATTAAGTTTTTTGAATACTTTAATTCTAATTCTATGAACTTTTACAAATTTTGTTGCATATTTATCAATGGTACTACGATATTCGATTATTGGAAATTTGTTTGAAAATAGTAATTATTAGTAATAGTGGAAACTGTATCTGGATGAAATACGACATTTGATGTTTCATTGTTTTAACGATTAAATACTCATAAAAGGAATTTATTTCTTGCTTTTGTGTTTTTTCCTCATATTAATACATAGAATGTAATGATTCCGCCTTTCATCGGACAAACGTAGTACCGCCCAATGAATAACGATAGTGAGCTATACGTTTTAAGTTATGACATCATCGTGCCGAGAACAGCGGACGCATCGTATTAAATATCTCGCGCGCAATACGCGCATTCGGTTTACTATTCTCGATAATTTTATACGTTACCGGTATTTTTGCATAACTAATACTTTGTTATAAAATATCAACGAATCGACGAAATTTAGTTGTATCAAATTCGAACTGTTTTGACTTGTTTCTTTATTGGAAGATTTTTATGTCTGGCAAAAAGCATTAAAATTTACATGCAAATTAAATAACATTTGAGGAAGCATAAAATTTATCGTCATGTCAACAAAGATGGTAATACAACACAATGGTGATTGGCAGCGAATAGTCGGAATTCAGTTGGTGTTATATCGTTGATAAATAACGTTGACGAACATTAATTGAAGGAATTACATGACTTGGTTATACCGAATTATGTTCATATACAGCATATTTTTATATGCAATTTGTTTCTAATTTAGAATTAAAATAGAAAAGATAAATATTATATCTTATATTGTTAATGAAAATATAGAAACATATGATTTACGTTTTTCGTGAGTTTAATAATGTGCGTTTAATAATAAAGTTTATTATTAAAACGAATTGAACTGTTTGTAAACGTAATGTAAGAAAAAATTTGGTCATGACCAAGAAGTGTATTGATCTTTATGCCCGTGTACTATTATAAGAAATATTATTTTTGTTAACACATGTAAAATATTAATGATTACCATATTCGTGTACTTGTTTTGGAAAATTTATTTGTCCAAAATTTCTTTAAGGTCAGATACACTTTGCACAACCGTTTATACTTCTTTGTTTGTATCCAAAATTTTCACTATTTAATCGATAAATTGAAAAAAAGGAAAAAAGAAGGAAAAACTATTGTTTGTTTTGAAGTGGCAGTTAATATGTTATATTGTAACAATGATTTATTGGAATGTTAGAATTTTAGGGAAATATAAATAATATTTTCCTTTCAACAATTGTGTGTATAATGAAGCTATTCGGTTTAACAAAATCGATAAAACGATAAAGAAGGAATTGTAGAAAATTGCCATAGATTCGGTGGAAGTGCAGATACTATATGTATAGTTTCGTGTAGACGATAAAAGAATTTGTAGAACAATCTCTGCAGTTTGCCTATTATTTACAGTAGATTTCGCGGAAGTCATAGATTTAGGTTAAGCATACGCTTCCGAATTATACGGAGCTGTTAAGCAAGGTTATTAGTGATACTAACGTACTAACGTATGGATATGAGAAGGTATATAACAAAAAACACGTACATTTTCAAAAGTTATGCAACGAAAGGGTCCTCATATTTTTTTATGATTATATTTGCGTTGCAAGTATCCACGTTAAAACTCATTTTCATCTATTCTACAGAATCGTAATATATGACATGCGATAATCAAGATATATTTTATGGAAATAGATTATTATATAAATTTGATAAAGTAATATATTTTGAAAAATATGATACACAATACAAGATATTAGGAGGTGTAAGAAAGTGAAAGCAAGAGAACGAACGTAGGGCCAGACGATGGGTTCACGTGATATAAATAAACGTAGTCAGAATTTGAGAAAAGGGAATTGTGATTTTAGTCACTCTAGGGATTCTTGTCATATCCCCCTACTGTCCTACGCGCTTGACGCACCTTATTCTACTTGGCTGTTACTCGCAACTTTATTGATCGTTTGCTGTCTTCTGTCAGTTTTCTTCCGTAAGTTATTTTTCACATATGAAATGAGAAAAAAAACAGCTAAAAACTATTTTTTTCCAATTGGGGATGAAGTGTAATATTATATTATACATAGTAGAAATATAAAAAAGCAAAAAGTAAATAATACATGTTATTTAAACGAAAAAATAATTGTTCCCAATTGTACAAAAGTTTTCATTTTACTCTTTAACTTTGAGAAATATATCAAAACATGTATGTATTAAATTTAAAATATTTTGTTTTAGTCGGTATTCAACGGCGGGGGTGGAAGGAAGTGGCGGAGGAGGAGGAGGTGGAGGTGGAGGTGGAGGACAGCGGCGACGATAGTGGTGGTGCTGTCCGGTAGTGACGACGGCGACGACAGCAGTGGTGGTGGTAGTGGTAGTGGTGACGGTAGTGGCGGCGGTGACAGTGATAACGACAGTGGTTAAAAACACGAAAAGCTAAGAAACAATATAAAAGAAAAATTTTATTTAGGAAAGAATAAAGAGAAATTATTAAAAAGGAAAATACGTAAGAAGTAAGTAACAAGGATGGCAGATATAAGTCAACAGCAACCGCTATCCGAACCTCATACGAACGGATTAATGGACGGTTTAACAGAAGAAGAGAAGAGTAAGATGCGGCCTGCCGATATCGATGCAGTAAGTTTAGAAAACTAAACTTTATTCTTACGTACCATGTGTACATATGTTGAACTTTCCGCTCAAACTGTCGAGATTTGTAATCTTCAGATTGTTATACACGATAGTCCTATTATATGCATCATTAATTAACAATTAACGTTCATCACTAATGACATACGAATCTATCGAGACGAAGTACATCAAAAGTATACCAAATACATCAAAATCATGATTTTTATTTTTTTATTCATAGGATATGAGGGAAATGGAAAGGAGGAAGAGAGTTGAAATGATGATGAATTCGCGACTTTTTCGAGAAGAATTAGAACGCATAATTGAGACACAGATGAAAGACGGTGCTGGACCATCAGGTCTGCTACAGCAAATCTCTGACATGATGGGTGCACAAGGTGCTCGGTTTAATGGAAATGTGTTTAAAAGTGAGTTGGTTGTACTATTACTAATTGTTTAAATATTTTATCAAATATATTTAATTTTGTTGTAGATTCAAATTGTGTATTACCCATTAATGATATACGTGGTGTAGAGAGCATGGGTTATGCAAAGGGAGAGAAACTGTTGCGCTGCAAATTGGCAGCAGTATTTAGATTGCTTGATCTCTATGGTTGGACCCAAGGTGTCGGTGGACAAATTACAGCTCGTTTAAATCAAGACCAAGAGCACTTCTTAGTTAATCCATATGGTTTGTTGTATCACGAAGTTACAGCTTCGAGTTTGATTAAAATTGATATGCAAGGAACGATTGTGGAACAAGGAACAACCAATTTTGGGGTTCATGTGGCAGGATTTCAATTGCATTCAACGATCCACGCTGCAAGACCAGATATTAAGTGTATTGTTCACATTACCACTCCGTCCGTTACTGCTGTAAGTATAAAGCTGTATCTTTCTTTATTTTTCAAATATATCTGTTAATTATATTTTCAAAAAAATATTTTTCTTTATTTCATGCCCCATCAGATCTCGTCACTAAAGTGCGGATTGCTGCCAACCGGACAAGAGAGCATAGTAATAGGAGAAGTAAGTACACATCAATATATTGGTGGATTTTTTGAACCTGAGGAAAAAGAGAAGATAGCAAGAAATCTTGGTCCAATGAATAAAGTTATGCTGTTAACAAATCGCGGTGCTCTCTGTTGCGGAGAAACTGTCGAAGAAGCTTTCTATAACGTTTACAATATGGTCCTAGCTTGCGAAACTCAGTTGAAACTAATGCCCGCTGGTTTGGATAATTTAAATCTTATTTCTGAAGAATGTAAGAAAGCTATATTCGAAGCATCGAGAAAACCACCAACACCGCAACAAACGGTTCCGATGTCTGAAACCACGGTTCTTGCTGAAAAACTTGAAAAGCGTTGGCGTATCGGTGGAACTGAATTTGAAGCGCTTATGCGGATGCTTGATAATGCAGTAAGTGTACGGGCTCTCTCTTTTTCTTTTTTCTTTTCATTCTCTTCTTTTCCTTTCATTTTTGATCTTTTCCCAGAAAAATCTTATTTTTATTTATTAATTATCGAGTGCATATTCCTTAAATGTTGATTCGATACAAATGATATAAATTGAATCATTCACAGGGGTTCCGAACTGGTTATATATACAGAAATCCATTAGTGAAAGGGGAACCTCCGCGACCTCGAAATGATGTTGAGGTGCCACCAGCGGTCTCGTCTTTGGGGTATTTACTCGAAGAGGAAGAACTTTATAAACAAGGGTAAATAGATTGATTTGTTATATAAAAATGATTTATAATTATCAAATGAAATTTTCAATTATATTTTTGATTTGTTTTTATAGATTCTGGAAAGGTGGTCGTAAAGGCACAGATAGGTCACGTTGGCTAAATTCACCCAATGTATATCAAAAGGTTGAAATACTAGAAACGGGAACTCCAGATCCGAAGAAAATTACAAAGGTAGAAGTCATCACTTTTGAGAACAAAAATGAGTAAATTTAATCATGTGTTTCTAAAATGAAAATCAATAAAATGATACCAGAAAATAAGAAAATAATATATAAAAAGGAGCATAAAATTTGTGCAAAGGTTTGAATTATATCTTATATAATATTATCAAAAAAGTATAATACCTTCTATGAGTCAGTGTCAACATTTACAACTATTTTACATGAAAATGTTGTTATATTAATAATTTTTTAAAATATTGTTTTCCAAAAAGTAATTACTATTGTTAATCGGCAAAGATAAAGATAGTACATGCAAGTTTTTAAAGATATAACTTTCCTCGATTAGAATGATAGAGCAAATGAATCATATTGTTTGATATTATTCATCGTTTTCTTTCAATATACTTTACTGCATGTATTTACTCAATGATAAAAGGAAATCTTATATCAAATCTAATTGAAAATAAAAATTCAAGATTACATAGAAACATTAATTTCTCCGGTTCAATTGTATTGCATTATTTGCTCGTTATTTCTAATCTCTAGTAATATTAACGTACTTTCGATACATTCCAATTTATGATAACGATAAAACTGTGCAGTGCATATAGAAAGATGAGATGGGAAGGGAATATAATTACTTGATTTTTAAGACAAAGAAGCTTATAATAGCTTTTAACGATCTGCTTATTATGACTAGTGTAAAATGTAATTCTAAATAAATATTGCTATGATACTTTATGGATCTTTTAGTGAAACAACTAAAGTTATAACAGATTTACTGCACTTCTCTCTTGTAGCTTATTGGTATATAAATAAATAAATATATCTCTTCTGTTGATCGTGTATAGGTAATTTTTTGAAAAGAAAAGAACCCTTTTCTTTGCTTTATAACAGTGCGACTATATGTATGAATACAAGAGGAAGAAAATACAAAGAATCACGTTAAATTTATGTTATGAATTTATATTTTGATGATCAGTTCGATGAGCAATGATAGCCTTATTCATGAGCATTTTCTCAAGTTTATGGCATTTTAGTGTTGCTGTGTAAGCATCGAACTTAATATAATCATACAATGTGCATGGATATTGACCATTTATGTCATTGACCGATTCACATTCGAAACTGTGTATGAATGTGTGCCTGTTCAAATCGTGTCGTTGAGGGGATGGTTATTAATCTCTTCGTCCCACTGCATTTACAAAACCAGATCGATCGACCCTATAAGGTGTTAGAAAGGGCAAAGGAGAGAGAGAGAGACGAGAGAGAGGGGGGAGGGAGGGAGGGAGGGAGGGAGATAGGGTGTCGGCGCGATGCGTTTCTGCCGGATCGCATAAAGACGTTTATCGCGGATCGAGCGCATCGATGGGACCGCGGGTGGAAAAAAGGAAAGGAAAGGGAAAGGGAGAGAGGAGCGTGTGGTTTGCTCCGGTTTGGCTCGGGCTAACTGGTATAATTAGCGATACGGCGTTGTCCGGCGGAGG